TGATGTAGAAGAGTTCTTTTGGATATTTGACTAGGCATTATTCCACTGTAAATAGAATTAGGGCTTATGACAGGTGAAAGTACTATTTTGGTTTTTTGAGCTGACATTGTTTTGGAGGTTCCTTTTGTAGTTAAAATTTATTTGAGATTGTCAAAGAAGTTGGCTTGAGAGGGGTGAAAGAGCTTTCTCCTAGTTAACATGGAGCAACAGGTCTTGGTATTTTAAATACTGTAATTGGCTTAGGGCAAGAAAGTCACTGAACTAGCTTCCTCTGAAATCAATTTTCTGTACAAAAGTATGGCTGTTGAAGAAAGTTCTTCTCCTACCGACCCAGGCGACCCAGGAGAGGAGTTTCTTTTAGACTTTGGGGTTAATATTGGATTTGATATTTTGAGTGAAAAGAAAGCATTTCTAAATAATGTCCGTTTGGCTTCCAATGATTTTTTCTTGCTTCTTGCCTTTTCCACTTATTATGTCGCAGTTTGCTATATCTGCATTTATTTTGCTAGCTTACATTATTCCGTTATTACATCACAGGGATAAGCTAGCACTCAAGGCTGTTAGTGACGGTTCTGCTAGCTATGCAGCATTGGAGAAAAAGGCTGCGTTGTATGAAAAGCTTGCCAGGGGAGAGCTTTCAGATGAGGAGGATAAAGAGAAGTATTGTGTTGATTTTTTCCGCAAGGGTCAAGAGGAAAAGGGACATCAGGAATTGCAAGCTAATGATTCTTCTTCTAGTAGTAAAGTATCTGCAAAGATTGATGACTATGATGATTTTTTACCTTTCAATTCAAAGCCCTTGGGTTTGGGGCATAGTGCTGGAATGTTTGACATTGATGAACACAAACGTTTTGTCAGGCAAGTCCCTATATCAGAGTGTAAATACTTTGTTTTAGCTTTATGACATTACTCTCTTTGGTTTCATGCATCAACAAAATTGCTTGTGGGAAGTGATGTTTTTTCCTCACAGCTGATTTGAAGGAATTTCATTTCTCCTTGTCATTGATATGCAGATAAGCTAGGAAATTAGTTTAAATTTACACATTTTTTTGAGTGTGTTTAGGTACAGTCCATTGTCACATATTCCAAGTGAAGTTATTTTCACAATTATCATGGGTAGGAAAGGAATTAACAAGTTCACTATTGGTGTAATCAAACTAAGAAACTTGTAAACATATTAGGACATCCTCAAAAGAAATGGTAAATAAACTATGAGCAACTAAGTTGGGTTGACTTTAATTCCATTCATTTATGGGACAGATGATTGCAGGGCAGCATGGAGCCCCTTGTCTCCCATGAAAAGTAATTGCACAATTTTGTACTCAAATATTGGAAATCAAAGTGATGTTTGATTGTAATGTATGTAGAGTTGTAGACTATTAGAAGTTTGTAAGAATAGTTGAGACTCCACCTAGTTTGAAGCTCTAATTACACAGCTTTAGCCTTGTGGAGTTCCTTAGAGAAAGTGCTTTGATTTAAGTAATCTGTATTCTGTATAGCAGATGTGAGAATAAAAAACGACAATCAAGAACACATATATTGATCTTGAGGAAAACTGATTACCGAAGTTAGGCTAGGTTAAGAACTAGAGAACTTGTATACTTCCTCTGTTTTCTTTAATGTGCAACGTACACCTTTTCACGTATACCAAGGAAAAGGAGAAAAAGAAAAGGTGGCAAATTGTACACTCAATTCATTACTCTAATAAGCCACTAACTTAATCAATCAAATCCCTGTTAAAAACTGAAGCACCCTGTCTACATATCTACCACCACCTCCTGCCAATGGAAAATACCAGACTAGTTTCCGGCAAGAATAGTGTTTTCAGAATATCATTTAGAGGAATCCAATTGAAGAATGGACCCTAATTTAGCGAGTTTCTTGCAATGGCTTTTCATTGCATTAAACAACTGATATTAGACCATCTCCAATGGTGAGACTCAAATTTGAGTATTAAATACAAAATGAGTTGTTTTTTTACCTCCAATGGTGATACCATACTCACTTCTCAATTTAGCAACTCATGTGAAGCCTAATTTCCCAATGGTGAGACTCTCCAAAATATACAAATATCACTTTCAATTTGGCTCACCAAATCCTTTTATTTTTAATATCAAATATTGTAAGATTAAAAAAAAAAGGGTAAAACTTAAATAAATTACAAAATAATTAGAATATTGACTTGGGGCCCACACTTTTTGTCAAATGAGACTCAAAGTTGGGTATCTAAACTTAGCAACTTTTTTTTGGAGTTGCTAAGTTTAGATACCAACTTATTGGTATACATTCTAAAAAATACTCTCTCTCCCTTAAATATACTCACGTGAGTCTCACCATGGGAGAGGGTCTTATTTGCTCTCTCCTACTCTTTAAAAATCAATTTTGTTTTGCTGTTTTAGTGATTTTTCCTCTTCCTTAATTTAAAGTTTGTAACCTTGTAGACATAGAAGAGAGGTGGTGGTGATTAAATTTGTAGATCTGGTGGTGGTGACGGGCCGACGACAGTGTTCAAGACGATGGTGAGGGTAAATGGTGGTGATGGAATGAGGGTGTTGGCAATTCCAATGAGGATGTTGGCTGTTTTCTTGAGGTAAATAAGGCGGTTTAGGTTAGGGTGGGTGGTCAGTGGTCACTAGAGCTGTTACTGTGAGGGTGGATGGTCACTAGGGTGGGTTCGGTGAGGGCGGATGGTGGCTGGGGTGGTGGGTCAGACCATAGGTCCATAGCAGTGGGAATGGAGAAGGAAAGGGGTTGAGGAGAGAGAGTTTATGAAATGTGGGCAGGGTAATTAAAAAGATTAGGGGATTGGGGTAGTCAGATAAAATTAGGCTGGTTAAATAAGGGTAGTATTGTAATTTTTAGTAAAAAAAAATTCCATCTTTGGATGAGTTGCAAGTATTGTGACATTTTCATTTATCGGAAGTGCTGCTGATAAAAGAAAACGAGGAATTATATATCAAGAGTAATCCCACAATAGAAACAAATAAGGCCCGACTAATAAGCCCCAATAGAAAACCGAGGGGGACTACTTTATGAAAGATGAACAAAACATTGTCAACCCCTTGCTGGCTACATGATCCCAGAGAATCAGATATATAGTATTTATTCATTTTAGAATCTTGAGAAACTTATTGTTGTTAGACATGCATGCCATTTAGTACATAAGGTGATTCATTCCATACGGTTGCAGTATATCCTACCGCATACATATTTTGTGCAGAGATGTGGAAAATTTTTGGATGGAATTAGCACATAATTTGTAATTTACTATGTGGAGCATCTTTTTGTGGATGAATCACTTGTGAGGACAAGCATTGTACCATATAGGTTGTATTTTGAAGGCATCTTGAGCTGCTCTTAAATTATTTGCTGCACTTGCCTCATGGGGTATTTTATCTTTATGTTGTATTTTTGAAAGTAAAAATACTGTTTGGGTTAAATTATGGTAGGGTTATTCTTTAGTGTTGATCCTCTGCAATCATGGACCTGTTCCCTAGATCTGACAGGCAGAGACTACTACTGTAGCCTCACCTCTCCATTTCACCTGTAATTAAACTGAATTTCTCGTAAGGTATTTATTTGTGCTTGTACTGTGCTTGCAATCTGATTGTACTACGAAATTATGAATTAGGTAATCCTGTGCATAATCACTAACTAGAAATTCCGAATGAGAAGGGATTGGAGGAGAAGGGCTTGCACAATTTATATTCCTGCTAACATGATAGAAATTTAGCATCTAGACACATAATGTTGCAATTGCAAATTTCAGTGGATCACAAGCTTGAGCATTTAAATTGATTAATTGCCTAGTAGCTAAGAGCTGCAAATTGAGCAGGTTAATGACTAACCACCATGAATGGTTGGGCTAAACTATGAAAAACTTGGATACAGTTTTGGATGCAACTACTTACTGCATACTGTTATGATCTTGTTGAATTTCCTTTTCTTTTGTGTTTATTTTTATGAATAAATGTATAACATATAGATTTCTTATTTTCTACCTTTTTTCCAATTGATACTTGTAGGGAAGTTCATGAAGAGGTGAATCAAGCCAGAGTAAATACTTCTGAACTGAAGTTACGTCGGCAAGAACAAGCAGCAGCTCGTCGAGAAAAGCTTCGACAGGCTTATATTAGGAAGCAACTAGAGAAGGTGAAGTCTGCGACAATAGCAAAACAGGAGCAAGCCTAACCAGCTAATGCTGCTGTTGAATTGCTTTGCGTATTAGCTGGTCTGGTGACTCCTTAACTGTTGCTATTGTGGGTATCAAGAACCTTAAGCAGCTTGCCAATATTTGTGCAAAATAGCTGAAAAATCTGGTGCAAGATACCAGGCCTTACACTGCCATTGGCTTGTAAGTAGAGCTATTAGGGCAGCATGTCAATCGAGGCACATACATAACTTTTAGAAGCCTTGAAGCACAATAGTCAAGACCCAAGAATCAAAGATTCATGTATCTGAAATGATGCGTCACAGTTAACCTAACTGTGGTACTGAAAGAAATTTGGAATTATGAATTCACCTTGCATGCTCTCCATATGATACTTTGTGAGCTATGTTTGTAGATTTACCCTCATTTATCATTGTATATTTGTATTAACCACCCTGATATAGTGATATGTAATGAATTTAATTGTGCAAATTCTTAAGACAGCATATAAAAGCTTCTCTTAGCTACCAAGCTTTAAACGTTGTTTTAGTTATCCAAGCTGACTTGAAAAGAAGATACAGTCATTCATATAATGACCCAATATGGTTCTACTCTATGCTTCACAGGGACAGGTATGACAGGCGCTTTGCAACTGTTGGCGGCCAGTGTGTAATGGCTAATGCCAGTCTCATGCTTTTCGGTGAATATAATTTGTTAAGGCACTAAAATTCAGTGCGAGAACACCTTCCTTGTGTGAAAACAAATTTGCAAGTCCTATGTTCTTTAAATGAAGGGTTGTTCTAAATTATGATTTATTCTCGAGAACACTACTGCAAATTAAAGCTTCAAGCCAATTCATCTACTATTTTCTTAAAATTACAGGAAGTATGCTTTTACAAATATACATTGGGTTCAAATAACAAACACAACAACTTACAAATAATGACAAAATTTTTACATGTTAGTAATATATGATTTGAGCTCGCTTAAGCCCTTTCCACAAGCTATAGATTGCAGCTATGACTAGCATATACAAGTACTTCGTAATAATATACAGAGTAATGTTTAATACAGTATGATTCTTCAACAGAAATAACTTATAGAGACGGAGCATAGTTAAAAATATAATCACAAGCCATATGTGAATGGCACTCCAGAGGCAGGAATCCACTTATCCCCTGCCAAAAATCTCCCAACAGTAAACCTTCCAGCCTCAATCGGACTGCTAATGACATGGTACCCGGGCCACCTGACTCGGCCACGAGTACTGGCTCCGGCACCATAGTTCATATACTCCCCATAATAGAGAGTCTTTAACGCAAAGTCCCCATTCCACGGGGCCCACCCGGCTTCATCCACCATTCCATCAATGTTAGACTTCATAACCACAGTTCTTGAGTACATCTTCCAAGGCCTCCCTAGGAAGGTCTGAAATGAACCTTGGACAACCTTAAGGTCCGGAGCAGCCTCGATGATCGAGCCGTGGATCACGATCCCCGTGTTCTCATTAGGGTCGGATCTTCCTTGGGCTGTAACTGTGTTCATTTGGTTGATCATAGGTCTCCTTGCATAGATATTGCAGTTTTGGAGGACAGCAGCCGCGTTACCAAATATAAAATCGACTGTACCGTAGATGTCGCACTCTTTGTAGAATTGACGCTTCGAGTGGACATAGAGGGTGTCTTGGTACCCTTTGAAGCTACAACGGTAAAAAATGGAGAAATCAGACCCAGACCGAAGGGCAACTGCTTGGTGTTTTTGTGGTCCGGCTGTGTTTTCAAATGTTATGCCTTTTGCTATGAAGCCATTCCCTGAAATACCTGCATGATATTTACAATAATAAGTAATCTATCTAGCAAGGAATATTTACTACGTAAAATATACTTCAAAATATTGTTTGGTAAGGGAGAAGCTTATTACTCCCTCTATCCCTAATTGTTTGCTCCACTTTTTTTTTTTTAAGGTGTCTCCAAAAAATTGCCCCATACTACTTTTGGCATGTTTTCCCACTTGCACTCTCTCTTTTTCTCTCCTCATTGATATTTGAGTCAACCCATGTGTACCAATTTTTTGCACAAAGCTTTAATAAAGTGAATTTATGGTTTGGGGCAAACAATTAGGGACAGAGGGAGTAAATAACATTTACTCGTAATAATAAAGATAACATTAAATATAATAGCGCTTTAAAAGTGACAGATTACATTTTTCAAAATGTTAGCATAGTTTTTTACAAATATGTACAACTTTGGTTTTAGCGCGGGAATTAAGAAAGTTATAAATTTTGTAAAAACTAATGATTAAAAGTACATATGTGCATATGGGGTTAGAGACAGATATGGAGAAAGAATTAGTAGTTGGGAATAATTAAAGGGTTAGAGAAAGTGTTGGGAATTAATGTTAAAAGTACAAAAAAGTAAAGGAAAAAAGATGACAACTCATAAAAAGAGGGTAATAATGTCAAAAAAATACAACCTTTAATAGAACTAGGGTATCCTACGCGCGCGATGTGCGCGAAAGAGTTAGCTCTTGCATAGAAGTTGTATTAGCGCGTAGTTACACCTTTGGTTTGGGTGGTAAATCTGGTAGTTTTAATACGTACTATTTGGTTTATGTGCCTATATAATGGTTTTGTAGAAATAATATAAAAAACCACCAAAATCTTAAATGATAATTATTTTTTAAAACTCTCAAAAGTTTGACAGTGTTATTTCAAAATTATTATTAAATAATATTTAATTGATTTGAATCCCTTCATATCTTAAGCTAGTTTAGAACGAACTCTTAATTGATTTGCATGATTCAATAATACTTAACGTATTTTTCTTCAAACGAATTTTTTGTGAGCTTGGTCATACAGAGTACTAATATATGAAATGTTTGTTGTAAACTTAATAATGTAAGTTCAATGTTCTACGACCATCTAATATCTATATCTATATCTAATACTAAAGCAATAACCACTTAGTTATATTTTTCCTCTTAAATTCTCTCCATATTTAATACATTTTTTTTTTCTATAATCGATTTCCTTCGATTATAGGATTTTAAAGTTATTTTTACCTCTTGATAACATCTGCTCAAATATCATTATTTAATATGACTGTCATTTAAATTCCACGTTTATGTGCGTGCCATCAAGTAATGTACAATTAAAAAGCTAATAAACCTTAACAATATTTAAAATAATTAAAGGACAACAAAATTGTAAATAAGAAGAGCAGGCACGAAGGAATAAAAATAAATCATCTCATGGTAATAAATAAAGTCTTCGTACATGCAATTTTTTTTTCCTTTTTAAATAACAATAATAACATATGAAGTACAAAACATTATAATTTTTTTATTTTAAAAAAAGGCATTACAAGTTTTTGTTAAAAAAAAAAAAACTTTTTATTAATTGATGGTATGTTTAATGGAAAACAAACCCAATTAAATATATTAATGAGAGTAAACATATTAATGAGGGTGAAAAAGTAAATATATATTTTTGTACACAATTTTGTGCATATTTTTGAGGGTATAGTTGGTAGCACACTATTCCTAAGAGTTATTTTCTACTTTTTATAAGGTAGGGAAAAGAGTCATTGTATTTTGGTTTACCAAAAAGGAAATGAGGCTTTGTATTAAGGGACGTAGGGAGTATTTTATCATTCCAATAATCACTTGTGTCAACGTATTCACGCTACTTTAACATCTACTCTTCGCTATTAGTTAAAAGGTACCTGATATCGTTAGATTTGTCGAACATGACCTTCTTTTAGGAACTTCGAGTTATTAAGGATTATAATAATCTAATAAAACATGAAATTTAACTTACCTTATATAAACTTAGTTGAATTTGACTAAATTTTTGTAAATTAGTTGTTATTTGAATTTGGATAGTCTTTATATTTCTTGAACTTAAATTATTATAAGTTATTGTTCTCGAATTTATCTTATATGAATTTAGTAGAATTCATCAAAACTTAATTTTCATGAATTAAATTATAAGCAAAATAAAATAGCAAAATCTTAGTGTGTTAATTATTAACAATGGATGGAGGAAGTAAACAAATAAAATAGCAAAGTCTTAGTGTGTTAATTATTATTGTATGGAGTAGTTCTTTTTCATGTGAAAAAGGAACTGAGTACCATCATGGTCACTACATAAGTGCATGGGTATCTTCATGTAGCAACTATAGCTTTTAAACAATTGAGTAAACTAAAGTAACCTTACCATATGACGATGTACTTGGAAAAATTTAAACAATAACAATTCACCAGTAGTCAATTTAATGTAATTACTCCTTTTGATTCTTTTTGTTCTCGTTTAAAATCTTAGTACTATTTATAAGTTAACATAATAATCTTTTAAATTACTCTTAATATATTAAACACAATAATAAAGTTATGTTACTTTTATTTTATTTTATTTTTTTGACACAATGCTACTTTTATTTTATTTGCCTTTAATTTGAAAGTAATTTATTACTATTATTTAACTGTTATATTTATTTATATTAAGGTCAAAGTAATATTGAAAAACATGTATAATCATAAAGGAAAGAACATTAAGATTGGAGGGATTAAGAAACAGACGTGATATTTGTTTCTTATTGTCTAGGTTTTTTGAGTCAATTGTTTTTTTTTTCTTTGCTTAGACATAGAGAAACACATTTAATGCAAGCCTTGTCCTACGAACATCACGTAACATGGATTAGAGACATGCTCAATAGTGAATAGTAAAATACAATAATGCAAATAAAAGCTTAAAAAACTTCTTAATTTAATTTAATTTTTTTAATTGGTAATTCATATGGATTTTTGATGTGATATACGTTGAATATGCATCATATATTGTAGGACTAATTACTTATTATTAGACGGCTTATATATAACTCAAAATTATTGGAATTATTTATTTATATTACTATTATTTTCTAGGAATTCATAATGATGTAAAATTAATTAATCAACTCACCAAAAGTTGCTGATCGAAAGGTGGTGGAACCATCAAAGACATTCTTGTTGCCCGTCACAATTGTGGCATCAATTCCATCTCCTATTAACATCAAATTTATCATCTTCTTTGTAATCACAATGTTCTCTTTGTAAATACCGGCTTTTACGTGTATAATAAATCTCTCTATTCCATTTCTTAGGTGTTTTGTAGCATCTATAGCTTCACATATAGTCTTATAATTACCCGTACCATCTTTAGCCACCACTAAGTCCACTTTCATAGTTAAAATGGACGTATGGATTAGCTTATGATCGCGCTTGGTCATCCATGATGGGATTCCATGGGCTAATAATCGTCGATGACCACCACTCCCAATAACACCACTTGTACGTTTCCATGTGTAGGGCTTGGATGGTATAGTTGAGAGGGCTCCGTTTATTGCAAGTGCATTAGTAAGCAATAGGGAAAAATTCGTCGATGTGAAGGTGTACATCTTTGAATTCATGGGCACGTTAAGATCACTGAACCCATCTTTGCATGTCTCTAGGTTGGTACTAGCTGCACTTAAAGATGTTTGAATGTCATCTTTTGTTATAGAATGATCATGACTTCTCGAGACTAAGATTGTGTGGTTCATCTCATGTATTGTATCCTCGTATAGCTCTAGACAATCCTCCCAGGCAACCTTGGCTAGCTTGTCAAATGAACTAAAGTCCATCGACGAGACCAACCCATGGACCATTAGGGCATGATCAAGGGTTATCTTGAGAGAACTATCGCGAATTGCTAATAAGGTAGACTCTTGCAATGATGGTGGGACATTTGATATGATAAGTGAGTTGCATATTTGAGGGTATGGAGTTTTGTTACATAAGTTTATATGTGCATGTATCTTATTAGGAAGACATTGGATTGAAGGAAGTAAAAAGAGAAATGCTAAAACAAATAGCTTTTCCATGAGGGTAACACTAGTATATGCCTATATGGTCAAGAAAATCTAGCTAGTTTATAGGGTGTGCAAATAATTCGTTAGCACTTTTTCATTTCTCAACTTTGGAAATAAATGTTTGTATTTATAGAAAGTTGATTTTGTTTTTATGTGGTTAGAAATTATATATGTCAAGAGATTTGTGTAGTTTGGGAAAATGGTTATCCATGTGAATTAAGAAAGCGAACTAGGTATGCGTTGTAATATAGTGTATGATGATGTGTACCTTAGTGGAAGGATCATGTGATAATTTATGGTCGTTTTGAAATAATGAAATTATTATTAATTTTTAATTGCATATGGGCGGATAAGATCCGACAATCCAAATAAGAAATTAGCTTACGATATGTTCTCTTCACTTGAACTATTATTTGTTGTTATGATTTTAATTATTTGAAGTTAGTCTTTTCTAGTTTGATTTGACATAATATTCATGTCAGTCTTGACCTAAGAAGCGATAAAATAGAAGTAGCTAGGAGCCTAGGACCAAGTAGTTGTGTTGGGCCAGCTTTTAGTTTAAAAATGCTTATATTGGACTGTCCAAAGCATGTAATAATATTTTTCGAAACTTCAAGCCTAATATTTCTACTTTTCCTAGGATAATTTTAGGGCTAGGCTATGTTAGTCATGATTAAGTCAATCTATCTTATATGGATGCATTTGACGATATTTAACTAAATCGTTATCCCGTACATGGGGTTGAATTTGTATTTTCAAAAACATTGTCAAATGAAGATAATCTTGTCAAAAAAAAAAAAAAAAGAAAAAAAAAAAAAGAAGAAGAAGATAAGATGATCTAATTGGCAGTAAGGCCAGTAACCTTATAAGTATAGGCGGAGAAAAGGAATAATTCCGCCTCAAGGGCCCTTATGTGACCAAAGACTACATTTTTCCTAAAGTGTAGGCGGAGAAAAGGAATAATTCACAACTCTCATTCACAAAGCCGAACTATTATGGTTAGACCAAAGACTACATTTTTCCTTAAGTAGTTGTTAAAGGTTCAACTTAATTTTGGACAAATATCTCATGCATTAAGATACTCCAATAATTGCTAAAATTATACTCCATTTTTTGAGTTTTAAAGGAATCATATCATTTTAAACTTTGTCACATCATGAAAAAATTTAATGTGAAACAAAATAAATAAAAAGTCCAAACGGCATCATAAATGCAATCTTCAGTTATGGAGAGGACAAGTGGAGAACCACTATATGAGATTTCGTAAATCTTAAGTAATAGGCTCACAATTACAAAATGTTCATTTTCTCTATAATCCCTTTTATTAAAGATTGAAGAATACAAAATTAGGTGTCAAATGGTTTAATTTCGTCTTCTAGTCTTTTAGGAATACATACAGGCTCTATTTTCAATCTTTAACCTATAAAAGGTGTTATTTCATTCATCTTATCTAAAAAAGTAGGAATTTAAACAAGTCGAGACCAGCATAATATAACCTTATTCATGTTCATATTCATTTAATTTCGTCAAGTTCGAACTTTTAGTGGAGCTCAAAAATTTGTTTAAGTTTTACACTTTTATGTTTATTTAACATTTGGAATTTTTTTAAAGATAAACTATAAAAAATTCCTAATTATAAAGTCTATCTACAATTTTATTTGACAAGAAATTTGATTCATCAAATTATATATATCAATTGTGAATCAATAATCAATGTCAGTTATTAACTGATTGAAGGTTGTGCATTTCTTATAAATATACAATTGGTTCATGTTAAAACTCATTCATCACTGAATAAGTTTAAAACTTTCAAATTTTGTTTAAGCTCGGTTCGTATGTATATTAAATAAACAAGCATAAACAATCGGCTTTTTAACCTAATAAAGTGATATGTTAATATAATGAGTTTACATTTAAAATAAAAAATAAAAATAAAAATCCTCTTGAAATGGGAAGGAAAAGAACGGTAAGTTGGTAACCCTTTAACTTCACACATAGGCATTCGATTCTTAGATTGATCTCACTAGTCTATCATTATGACTCTCTTTCTCTTGACCCACTCTTTCTATCATGGTTTAGCACCATCGTCTAAACCTAAAATCAAACACTATTACACAAACGACTATTGTTGTTAATTCTATCCAAATCAAACTACTAGCTAGCTTGACAAGAAGTTTATATGATCCTCATTATCTCTAGGTGGCCCTATTACAAGCAGGGCTGCAGGCTAAGATGTAACATTAATATATTTAATTATAATAATTACAAAATTATTAGATAAGGATCGGACAATAGGAGTTAATATGGAGGTATAACAATTAGTTCTTAATAATGCAATTCTTTACGATATATGATAGGAAAGGATTGTGTGATTACATGATACTTGTACAAATTAGTTGAAATTGCAATTCCTTTGACGAAATCTGCATTATTATCATCTATAATTATAAAACCAAACAAATAAATAAAAAGCCTGAATTAGGCCAATTTATAAGATTATCAACAATAATGACATAATTGGCAAGTCAAAGACAACTAGCTACTGCATTTTTGTAATGGAAAATTTGCGCAGAATAAACCGATATTTGTCTCATTCGTCCAAAATGGTATCACCTTTCGATTATTTTTTTAATAATCAAACCTTTATACCCAATTTGCTTAAAATAGTCCTAGGTGCCTTATAACCGATTGAGTAGGTTTTTTTTTTTTAATTAGGTTTAATAATTTAAATGTGTCACCATGTAATTGGTCAAAAAATAAGTTACGGAGTATAATTTTAATTTTTTTAAGGGAATGATTATTACTAGGAACATTATTTAATTATGTTAAAACTAACATTTGGTTTAAAAATGATAAAATTTAAACAACCACCATCAGCCCTAGCTTGCCAACCACTTCCTCACCGCCACCATCGGCACAAACCCTAGATTCCCTGTGCCGGTCGCCGCTCCTTCCCCTACCCTTGTCTGTCACCTCTAAACCACCACACCCATTCCTGTAACAATGGTGGTGATAGTGAGCGGGTGAATATGTGTGTGTGCGTGCGCGCTGAGGAGTTATTATGACAACAGGTTGAAATCAAGGTTTGGAAGGGGAGGGGCTAAAATTGAGGCGTTGGATGGGGAGGGGGTCGGAAGTGGGACAAGGGAAGGGAAGAGAGGTCAAAAGCGGGTGAGGGAAGAGAAGGGGGCTGGAAAAGGGGCATGGGAAGGGAAGGGGGCTGGAAAAGGGACATGGGAAGGGAAGGGGGCCGGAATAAGGATGGCGGAAAAGAAGGGATTGTCAAGGTGGCGATAGGGGCTGTGGACTGGGTTATTTATTTTTTATTATTATCTTTATTTTTCAGTTTTTTTTTTTTTTTTTTTTTTTTTTTTTTTTTTTTTTTTTGTAAAGATTTTTTTTAATTTAATTTTTTCCAATTTAATTTTTAAATTTTTTTTGACCAATCACAAGGCGCCACGTGTCAAGTAACTTGGTATAATAATTTAGATGACCTGTTGTGAACATTTTGAGCGAATGAGTATAAAGGTCGGATTACTAAAAAAATAATCAAAAGGTGGGATTATTTTGGGCGGAGGAGATAAAGGTCAGATTAATCCAAGCAATTTTTCCGTAATGGAATAAGACCATAAAAATTTACTTAAATTATCAACTATATATAAAACTTCAATGGTATATCACTCGTGTCACACGTCACACGTTTAGAGACATGTCTATTACACACACATACCATGCTATTTATAAAATGAATGACTTTTATAGCATACATTCAAATGTAAAATAGGTTATGTAAGAAATGCTAGTTAAAGACCTTAGTATTTTGACCCTTTTTTTGGGTTTGTGCTCTTTTCTTTTGAGAGTTTATAGGGCTTGGACTCTATCTATATATATTTATAATTTTCTAAGACATATGTTGAATACCATGTAAAATTAAATGGAGTAATTTTTATGAGACAATGTGATTAAAAAGAATATTACAGATAATGTTTAAACATTGATAGAACTAGATATAAAAAATAAATAAATAAATTATAACTATAAAGGCGTGCATATAAATTATTTCAAAATGCATTAAATATCTCTATAATATCTATAAGGTAAAAGCTAATGAGCACCCCCAGGGCGTTAGATAAGATAATTAAAAACGGAAATATTAGAGTAAAACTAACATTAATTACACTGAACGACCCGTGATTTTGTCATGCATTGCTAACTTAATAGTCTTTCAACCAATAAAATTATTTCTTAACTAACGCCCCGGAACGCTCGTTAGCAAAGATCATATATATAATAAACACCATCCAAGTCATATAATGATGTATTGAAAGCTACACCTTTCATTAAAGGCATCTAGTAGTACGAGCATATGATCATCCAAGTCAATTTATGCACCCTAAGTTTACATAATCCACACTCAATATCTCGTGAAACTTTAAGGATGTTAGGTTTGATAAGATAATTTCAACGTCTAAGCTTTATGTAATTGTAACATTAAACACTTTGTTCGTCATTATTTAGGTAAATAGCTCTATCCAAGAGTCTTGGTTGGTGAAATTTGATGTGTATACAATTAACAAGTCCATATTTTGCCATGTGTATAATAATCAAACTCTTTTTTGGGTAATAATTAGCCAATAACAAGAGATTATTCACATGTTACATAATCCAAGGTGTTGGTGATCGGAAATTTAATGTTATATTGAGATCATTCTATCTTTGGACTTCTATCTATACTAGGGTATCCTACGCGTGCGATGCGCGCGAAAGAGTTAGCTCTTGCATAGAAGTTGTATTAGCGCGTAGTTACATCTTTAGTTTGGGTGGTAGATCTAGTAGTTTTAATACGTACTATTTGATTTATGTGCCTATATAATGGTTTTGTAGAAATAATATAAAAGGCCACCAAAATCTTAAATGATAATTATTTTTTAAAACTCTCAAAAGTTTGACAGTGTTATTTCAAAATTATTATTAAATAATATTTAATTGATTTGCATCCCTTCATATCTTAAACTAGTTTAGAACTCTTAATTGATTTGCATGATTCAATAATACTTAACGTATTTTTCTTC